CCTTCTTTGGAGGTTTTTAAACAGAGGCTAAATGGCCATCTGACAGCACTGCTGATTCTGTGAACTTAGGCAGATCATGAGAAGGAGGGCAGGAAGGGTTGCCTCAGTGCCAGTTTGGTGTCGTGGTTAAGTGTGCGGACTCTAATCTGGGAGAACCGGGTTTGATTCCCCACTCCTCCACTTGCACCTGCTGATGTGACCTTGGGTCAGTCACAAGCTCTGGCACAGCTGTCCTTGAAAAAGAGCAGTTTGTGTCAGAGTTCTCTCAGCCCCACCCACCTCACAGGGTGTCTGTTGTGGGGAGGGGAAGGGAAAGGAGTTTGTAAGCCGCTCTGAGACTCCAAGTGAAGGGCGGGGTATAAATCCAATCTCTTCTTCTTCTCTTCTGCTTAGTTCACGTGCCCTTTCTTACATGCCCAGGGAAATGCTGATCACCACTTTGGGGTCAGGCAGCAATTTTCCTCCAGGCAAGTTTGGCCAGTGATCGTAGAGGGTTTTTTTGCTATATTCTGGGTATGGAGCAGGGGTCACTGGGTGTGTGTGTGTGGGGGGGAGTATTTGTGAATTTCCTGCATTGTGCAGGGGGTTGGACTAGATGACCCTGGACGTCCCTTCCAACTCTATCATTTTAAGATTCATCCCTTAGCAGTCACCAAAGGGCCTCTCACTTAGCAGTCTCACTGGTTAGGGCTTCTCTCTTGATGCCAGCTAATTAGTGACTAACAATATGCAAATGTTCCAGGTGGTCAGCTGCGTTGGTCTGAAGCAGTAGAATAAATTTATACTTCAGTGGCACCTTTAAGACCAAAAAAGGTTTATTCAAAGTATGAGCTTTTGTGTGCATGGAAACTTTTTCAACCCTCCCTGGTTCAACCCCCTTGGTCCTGCCTGGACCAATCTGTTGTCCCTGTGATGATTCCAGCCATTCCCCCTGATGTCTCAGCCTTTATCTGTTTCCCCGAGTCTGGCCCATCCTTGGCAGTCCTTCTCCCCTCCAGTCCTGGCCTGGTGGTGATTTGTAATCTCTGGGAAATCTAGCCACGCTGATGGAGATTCTCTTATTTTATTTACCCGGTCTAGTAGTTCCTTAGTGCCAGATGATGATGTCATTGGCTGGCAATGAGAGTCCATTTCTCCTGAAGGTTGCCACTGGGGCCAGTTCCTGCTTGTTGAGCTTGGCAAGGCTCTGTGTCTCATCCAAGGTCTCTCCAATGGGATCCATTGTTTCAAGACCTTGTGGAGGGCCAAGGCCCTGATTCACCCACGGCTTCACCTGATGCAGTTGTCCAGTGGCTGATGATACCGGCAGTGCTAGGTACAGTGTGGCTGGCCTGGCTTTGGAGGGGGTGGCCTGTGCCATTCATGTTGAGTGGGTTGAGTGTGGGGCTGCAACTCCTGTTGTTGCCAGCTCTTGCCCCCGTGTTGGTGGCTCCAGGCCAAGTAAGGCTGGTAAAGGAGGGAGCTGGCAGTGGCCAAGTCTGGGTGGGCCCCCACACCTGGACACCTATATTCTTGTTTTTATGGATACCATGGACTGCCAAAAAAACAAATAAGTAGGTTCTAGATCAAAGCAAGCTTGAATTCTCCCTAGATGCTAAAATGATTAAACTGGTCACATTATGAAAAGACAAGACTCATGGGAAAAGACAGTAATGCTAGGGAAGTTTGACAGCTGCAGGAAGAACCAACATGAGATGAATCAATTCAATCACGGCAGTCATGGCCCTCAGTTTGCAAGACCTGAGCAAGGCTGTTAACATGAGGTCATTTTGGAGGTTATTCATTCACAGGGTTGCTGTAAGTTGGAAATGACTTGATGGCACTTGACACACAAACATTCTTGTTAGATAAACCACCCAGGGAGGAAAGAGAATGGCTGACTCAGATATTGCATACAAAACATCTGCTCCAGTTGTGTAGATAGACTTCCTGATCATTGGCAAACACTAGTTTCAGCCATGTTGGTCTGAATCCAGTAGCACATTAGAGACCAACAAGATTTTGGGAGATATAAGCTGTTAAGAGTCAAAGCTCCCTTTGTCATATATCAGGTATTAGACAAAGGGAGCTCTGACTCTCAAAAGCTTATACCCTGAAAATCTGGGAGAACCGGGTTTGATTCCCCACTCCTCCACTTGCACCTGCTGGATGACCTTGGGCAAGCTATAGTTCTGATAAGAGCTGTCCTTGAAAAAGAGCAGTTTCTGTCAGAGCTCTCTCAGCCCCACCTACCTCACAGGGTGTCTGTTGTGGGGAGGGGAAGGGAAAGGAGTTTGTAAGCCGCTCTGAGACTCCTTTGGGTAGTGAAGGGTGGGGTATAAATCCAATCTCCTCCTCCTCCTCTTCTTTTCAATATACCCAATCACAGACATTTTTGCCATTAACAGAGGTATGAAGAAAATTTCCCTGCTTGCATGGTAAGATGCTCAACACAAACATTTCATTATGTGGTGACAACTGACATGTGGATTCAAAGCTACTTCAATGCAGCAGTTGTAAGATATACTTCATCCCTTGGGCATCCCAGCTGTCATTACTGTCTGCTCATCTACTTATGTGAGAGTTGTGATTATTTTTATTTTTAATCATACCTGGGGTAATGGTGCAAATTGAGTTCCACCATCCATAATGACAAGTAACTAACAAGTGAGCAAGATTCCTCAAATATGTCTGCATGCAACTGACAACTGAAATTTTTCACAAGAAGAGAGTAGCTATGAAGGAGCTCAAACAATATAAAAGTCAAACAATAGCAAGGTATTTGTAGAAAACATGTAGTTGTTCAGAATAATCCTATATAGGTAAGAAGAAGATAAATTAATAAGGAGCTATGGCTTTTTAAAAAGAGGAATCCTGTCTTATTGGTTGTTAGTTTTATATGTGAAAAGAGAGCTTTTAAAAATATATTACATTACCTGTACATAAAAATAAGCCTGCACATGATCTCTGAATTAATTTGGACTTTCATAAAATAAATACTTTTACAATTTGTAGGCTTACCCACACAGACATTGTAGTATTGGGTTGGATGCCACCATGCAATAATGGAAAAAGGTTTTACATAGTACCATTCCATTTGTGCACAAACTATAAAACAAGTGGCTCCCTGCCCCCCCACCTTTCCAATCGGTGTTTATGGCTGCAGCCATAAGAACACATTCCTAGAAGTAAACCACAATGAATAAAATTCAACTTACTTATGAATAGACCAGTTTAGGATTGCTCTCTCTGTGTACAAAAATCAAAAAACTATTTCACGCAGTCATTACAGTCTAGTCTGGAAGTATATGATTTGATCAAAGAAGGTTACTGTGGAGGGGAACTACTGAAGCATACCTTGCACTCTATCTTATGCAAAAGGAAATGTAAAATGGGATACAGTTAAAGGTGACTGGGTACAGTTGAAGATGACAGCGCAAAGACTACTTGTGATGACTTTCTTATTTTTCTGTTTGAACAAGGACTGTTGTGCAAGCAGAAATCCAACCAAATCAATTTTATTTGTCCTAGACATCATGGGGCTATTTCATGATCGCATAACTCATCCGTACTTGGGACTCATTGCAACAAGTTTTTCCACAGTAGGAATTAATTTAATTTATTCAGTCAGCCAGCACAAACTAGAGCCACAAATGCTTATATGATTTCCTGTGTTCCAATGGGGGATGGGATAGAGAACATGACTCTCTAGGCATTTAAAGACTGAGAAAAAACAAAGGAAATTCAGGATTATGTCATTCAAAGATGTGTTTATATGTTAACATTTGAGCCATTTGTAAGTTAAGGACAATGTAGTCCACAGTTTAAAGGATATGTTAGAATGAGCTGTTAATTACAGTGAAATGATCATAAGCAAAGCAATCTGTTCTTTAATGAAGGCAGTAGTGTGATTTTGAAGTGGAAAGATAACTATTGTAATGCAATTTCAGAGAAAGAAAATGACAAAAAGTAATTCCGTTAATTCTGAAATTATCTCTGTAAGAAAGAATTCAAGTGATAGCAAAACCACCTTGCTTCCATTCCAAATCTCTCCTTTTATTTGTAAAGACTGGCATTACAATCAAAAAGGACTCAAAATGGAGCGATGTACACATCATTGGTGTTTCATGATGCAACTGATGAGATCCCTGAATGGATATTGCTTCACCTTTGATTTTAAAAATCGGCCTAAGAAAAAAGTTTTAACTTCACTAATGATCACAAATGGCAAAATGAACAGAAAGAGAAAAAAAAAACAATAGGAAAATAAAATATAAACCCAAACTACTGGCAAGTTCATAACATATACATATTTGGTTGGTTGGTGACACCAGTTCCAAATGTACAATAAAGCCCACAACACTTTATTACTATGAATATTATCGTGAATGAGTTCTCATGTTGGATCAACTTGCTTCAGAAAGTTGCTTTTTTTGTTTAAACTTGCATAATAAACATGCAATGAAAGTATTCTCTTTAACATTTTTTTCCTGCAGTCTTTTTGTTTTCATACAAAGATTTCATAAAGTTGCAGTGTTGCATCAGAGCATTACCAAAATAAGTGTAAGAGATATAGGAAGAAACCTGTGAATTTACTTTAATGAGAAAAAAAACCCCTACTTTTTATCCTGAGACACGCCATCGTCTTATTAAAAAGGTGTGCACAGCCAAATCCTTCCCCGGCCCCTCCAGAAGACAAAATAAATATTAATTTGGAGGAAAGAGAACAATTAACGAAAATATAAGATGTCATCATGCACTCCTCTTCTGCATAGCTCATCCTACATATAGTAAGGCACTATTTCCCCACAACTTAGTGTCCACAACAATCCTTTACAGCACTCTGTGAACTTCAGAGTTCCTTCCAGGATGATGAAACAAACAGACTGAATGAATGTGGCTCTCACGTTACCTCACATGTTCTCCTAGTTAAGGGAGTCATCGGGCAGGCTCAGAAAAAAAAAAGCTGTCTCAAGTCTTTTCTGTGTGTGTGCATCTGTGTTCGTGTTATGTATGTGGTTTTGTTGTGTGGGATTTTTTTTTTTCTATTCTCTTTCCAGAGTTCTTAAAGTTTTCATTGTTCTCAAAGCAAACACAGAAGAAAAAAGGACAGCTGAGTCATCAAAAAAAGCTTTGGTGCTCCAAATGGCACACTGCTCAATAGGTCCAGGGAACTGGGTAGACATTCCCAAAGGAATTAGGAGAGGTGTGGATGGTTTCTCAAGAGCCCGTTGTCATCTCTTTAGTTAAGCTGGTCTTCGTACTGCTTTCGAAAGCAATCGCCAGCAGGGAAAAATTCCCAGCATCGTTCCTGATACATTTTCCATACATAGGATTCCTACAAGAAACAGAGAGAATATATTAGGGCAGCAGCTACGAAATCTAAGATGTTGCTAGTCCGGAAGATTTGGCATTATTGACAATTTCCAAAGCCGTCTTTTTGCACTGTTGCACTAAAAATGTTTGTGCAAGAACAACTGGTGCAATCCTACTTTTTACTTTTACAGAATATACACAGTTGTACTACTTAGTATGAATCATTGCATAAACACCACCAGAAAACCACATCTCATGACAGGGTAAACTATTTTTGGTTTGTTTTAAAAAAAATTAAAAATAAATCTGTCATGTATGAAGGACTGTTAATATTTCTTAATTATCTAGTTGTAGTTTCTTAAAAACTCTATTCATGTGAAGCCGAACTGAGATTCCGCCATAGTTGGTTGCAACTAGTTGCCCACAGTTGGTGGCCCTGGGTGGGAATACAGATCCTCATACCCTTCTAGTCATTTCAACATAGGGCTTTTTTGCATATTTTTCCATCTGTTCTGGCGCCACAGAACTGGTTTCCACATGTATTTTTGTGCCTTTAGGTTTCACTTATTATTTTTTGTTTCCCCCCAGCTCTTTAAAGACCACTTTTACCCTGACGCTTTTCTGGAAGCTGATTTTGAGACAGCTTTTTCTTAGTGTGTAATGTTTCTAATGGTTTTCGTTGTCCCACCCACCTCCACTGTTCAATGACTGGAGTGTTGTCATTGTTAAACCACTCCTTCTCCCCCACAAGAGTAATTTCAGAGTTTTTAAAAAAATAATAATCCTAAAACATTGATACAATGCTGCAGTGTTGTAATGACAGTTTAAGCAGGTTTTCTGAAATCCAAGCTTTAATTTTTTTTAAGTACCGGTAAGTCTCTATCTCTTTCCCAGCCTGTCTCCTTATATCTTTGCAAGGAAAAAGGCTAGAGACTTGTTTTTTAAAATGAAAGCTGGGAAGTCAGAGAAACATATAAACTATCATTACAACACTACAGCATAATATTAATATTTTAGGGCTTTGTTAAAAATAAGGGGTACTCTGACACTACCAATAATTACACCAATGATGACAGCATTCTCTCCTGAAAATCCTCATTATTTAATCCACGTGCAGAAGACAATAAACTGACTCTACAACAATAAAAATGCACACGGAGGGCAGAGGTGAGGAAGAACCCTGCCCAAACTGATTCCACTGCTTGTGGATTGACTTCCAAGAAAATCAGATGTAACTCCAGCATGCAGAAAAGGTCACAGCTGAGATTATGTGGATAAGAATATGAATCCAGATGTGCATCTGATTAGGCTATGCATATTTATGTGGGTCGCCTTGGCTGGATCAAAGTGATCATGTCCGCAAAAAAGGGTCAACTCTTCCATGTTTCCATAGGTGCCTACTTAAAAAAGGTTAAGGTAAGATGCCAGAGCAGAGACAGTAGATATAAAAACGGAAGATCTCAGATACTACAAAATGAAGCTTCAGGTAACGATCTAAAGTAACATAAGATCATTTTTACATGTTTTCACATTATTGTCAGAAGCATCCTACATGTATTCAATATGACACTTACTTACCTGCCCAGTGTGCTCTGTTTCATCTTTATTAATGAGATACATCAGGAAAAATCTAAGATAAAAAAAATCCAATAATAAAGTATATGCCATGCCGTTCATGATACATACAGAACAAATATTCTCTTAACAGAGATGGTACACTTATTGTACATGTAAAACTGGCTAAAAGAGATGCAGGTCTTAGAAAGGGAAGGAGCTTTTATAAGCAAACATGGTAAAGTATGACAACTTTTTCAGCACAATCCTGAAGGGGTGGTTGCAAAAGCACACAGGGAGCCACCAGCATGGCACGGGTGCCAAGCAATGACGATGCAAGTTGCTGCACCTGCTGGAAAAGACATGGAACCAGGCACATGACAGGAATTAACCAGTTCTCTAAGCTACCCTAGCCCAGAAATGTCCCCCTGAACCAGCAAAAATCATGTCAGAGCCAATAGCTGCCCATACAATGGAAACGCCAAAATACCCTTCAGGTCCTAGTGTAGCATAAGCCCTGGTATTGTCTGCAGCCACAGACAACCATCTCTCTCCCCAGCAGCGGCCAAACAATCACAACCACTTCAAGCACTACATAATTTCCTGGATATACTGTTGTGGGGGGGGGGGGTACTGTGTGGAGGCATTTCTCTATCTTTTCTTTATTTGTGAACCACAGTGCAGCCGTGTTTATAAGTCCGCATAATTATGTATGACCCTTGACAATATCTAGTGTTACAATGAAGGGCTCCGCTTCAAAAATATTAGCTTTGTAAATCCCCTAATGATGCTATGTGTTTGGGGATACTTACAGATAGTTAGCCAAGTTGTGCTCCTGTAGAGTATGTGTTTCAAAGCCATGGGGCACTGTGTCAAAGTAATCATTACCTATCCCACAGATGAAGCATTTGGTCTAAAAAGAATAAAGAGACAGGTGTATTAATATTTTATGTACCAATAAATATAAACACATTTTAGGCTCCGGTCACATGGGCCGGAAAACGTGGGGGGGGGGGGGGCTTGGCTGTTGGCCCCGGGGCAAAATAACACGCAGTTGCGTGAGCAGACATCCCGTGGAGGTCCCATGGAGGTCCCGTGGTTAGGGGGGAGGTGCCGATCACAGGACAATCCTGCGAAGCTGCAAAGAAGCAGGGCCGCGGGGCAAACGGGGTTGTGGGTTTTTTAAAAACTAAAGTGTGTGCATGCTCCGTTGGGCGCTTGTGTGCATCCGTGGAGACTTGGGGAAAAATAAACCTTTTTGCAAGGGGACATGGGCGGGCGCCGTAACTACCACCGGAAACGCGATCAGACGCCTGCCCATGCCCCGCGGTTTCTGGAAACTAGTACCTCGGAGGTACTAGTTTTTTACAGTGCATCTTCAGAGTGAAGCTTCCCAGATGTGGCAGTGAGATCGCGCCTGGAAAATCCACCTATCTTCCATCTCTCTAGCATGCCTAATGCTCCGTGTTACCGCAGCCTTAAACTATTTAGATCAAGTTTAAAGATTTTATTAGGAAAAGGCCTTATTTTCAGTTACTGCATCAGCTCTCAAGTACTTGAAATAAAGTGACAGTCATCATACCATCTTCTTTCTGTGTGCTCAGGGGTTTTGGTGGTGGTAAATTAATGTGAATAAAGAAAGAGAAAGGACTGTGCTGAAATCCAAAATTTCATAATTGCTTTCCCCAGAAACCCTATGTATATAGGAGGCCCAAGCACATGAATAATAGAGATACTTTGAACGCAGAAGGGAGAGCAACTGCCAGTCCCAGATAGCAATACTGGTCAAGATGGACCCATGGTATGCCTCTTTGTATGGCACTTTCATGTGTCCCTCACTGAAACTGCAGCATCTTTCATTAACAGTGATATTTATAAACCAAACCAGCCTTCACTTTATCGTATGGAACAAAAGACATGACAAACACATCCGACTCATTCAATAGCCTTTAGGATGCCCCATCCTCCAAGGCAATGCTACCACACAACAGCACCCAAGGAGCAGGCCAACACTGTGAACGCTCAAGACTATCCTTGACTGCAGAGAAGTAGCCTGAAGCTGCATAGTCAACAGGAATTGTGCCGTGGAATGTTCTGAGATCCATAAATAGATGGAATAATTGGCTGGTCATTGTTTATTTGATGTAAGATTATATTATTATATATTCCCAATCTTACGGCATAGTAAAACATGTAAAAATCACTTTTAATTATTCCTGTCCATTTTGAATCTGTCCAGCCTCAATGGATTTGTTTCAATTTCTAATCTCCCTATTCTTTGTGAACTCTGCAAGCAGTAATAAAAAAGTGCTAAAATGCATGTAAATTACTGATACCATCCATGCTGCAGCAGACCTCTGGAATGAGGCATTCCACAGTTTCTCTGATCGCCTCCCTTTTTCCCCCACATTTTGTATTTGACTCATAGAGAGCAATTTCAAGATATTGCCCTTAGATAACCTGAAGAACTTCGGCTGGTACAAGAGAGGGAGCCTCATAAAAACCATGTACAGGTTAAGTCAGACAAGTCAAAGCCAGAGATGTTTGTGCATGGAAGGTGACAGGCATCCTTCACACTTCTAACAGCAAGTGGTATTTCATGTGATCCTATAAAAGGCTATTTATTTCCTACCATTTATTTTCTGATATGCGGGATAATCAAAATATTTTACAAAAAGTATAGTAGGGGCTGTAAATGAGGTACAGATTTATTTTTTTTACCTCCATGTCTTCTTTAACTTGTTCTTGCTGATCTCTTAACTCTCCAAAAGCATCAATAATTAAACCTGGTTTTAAAGAAAGTAATACTTCAACATCTGAACACAGAAGTAGGGCAGAACCTTGCTAATATAGAACTCTAAAAGTACAATGTTAAACCAGAAAACTCTTGTAGCTTGAGGTACAAAAACATGTACTGTTCTTCATTTTTTTTTAGTTTTAATTAGGTATTCAGCAACAAGAAAAATTATGCTATATCCACTGAACTTTTAAAACCATTTCACAGTTTAAGGGGTAGAGATGACTGCTATGTGTAAACTGCTACTACAATGGCATTTTCTGCACAATAGAAGGGGGGGCGGTACCATGGGGAAATATATATTTTATTTATATCTGTAGATTCCTACACACTTCACATGCTGCTTTATCAGCTGAAGAGATGGGCACAAACCGATCCACGAAGCAAAATTCATCACAAATTTTGCCCTATTTGTGGTTTGGTTTCAGGCCTGTATTACAAAGAAAACCTTAAATATGGTCTAAATTTCTTTTAGGCCTAAAATTTCTTTTATAAAACTGACTATATATATTTTTTAAATTTCTTGCTATTATCACATCCTTTTATGTTTTTTCCCCAACTAGATTCCCTTATGAAGTAGTGTGCAAAAAGCATTGGGATCTATAGATACAAGTATGTATTTCCCCATTTTCTGCAGTAAACACACATAACACAGACATTATATGAACCTATTTAAATTTTCATGTACACATACTTGAATCCAAAACTATGCAAAAAAACGCAGTGTTGCACCAGTGTGCATGCAGAAACTCCCCAAATGCAAATATATAGAACAGAAGAAGAAGAAGAAGAGATTGCTTTTATACCCCGCCCTTCACTACCCAAAGGTGTCTCAGAGCAGCTTACAATCTCCTTTCCCTTCCCTCCCCACAACAGACACCCTGTGAGGTAGGTGGGGCTGAGAGAGCTCTTGACAGAAACTGCTCTTTTTCAAGAACAGCTCTTATCAAAGCTACGGCTTGCCCAAGTCCATCCAGCCAGGTGCAAGTGAAGGAGTGGGGAATCAAACCCGGTTCTCCCAGATTAGAGTCTGCACACTTAACCACTACACCAAACAGGAGAAGAGAGATCATAGTCTTTTGATCATTCTTGATTGATGGATTGATTTGATTTATAAAGCACCCTCCCCTAAAGGGCTCAGGGAAGTGTACTACATGTATCAACATATCAATCTTCTTCACCATAAGACATCATAAGGCACATGGAATTGAGATCTTAATGCCAAAATATGTTTTGCAGGAAAATGTCTGGAGCTACATCCTTTTCATTATTCCTGTTCTCATTACATTTATATATTAGTAATCCTGTTAATACAGCTCAACACAAGTAATGGACAATGATTTGAAACAAGGAAAAGGAACAAATTCTATCAGAGTCAAGATCATTAAAACAATCTGCTTTTATAGAAATCCAGCCTGAACTGACTGAAATTCATGAAAGAACACTGCCGCCAAACAGATGTGAATTACCCAAGAGGGTGAATCCCAGTTAGCTAAAAGATGAACAGATTTATGCTTATTTGGTCCAAATTAGATAATCAATTAGCATGAGATATACTGCAGGAAAATATGGCTAATTCACCTACATTTTTATAAAGCCATTTCAGATTACATGTTTCTCTTGTATGTTTAAATGCATTTAAATGTATGTTTCCTTCCAACCTCTTCCAGTTTCATGAGTTTCTTGACATGCATTTTCAGTAAGACATAGATGTGACCCTTCTTAAGTGTCTTATGAGTTAATAAGATTTTAAAATGTGACAAAACCTTTAACTTCCTTCTCAGCCACTGTATTATTGCCAGTTCATGCAAAATGTAAATGAAAGGAAAAGGGGTCCCTTTCTCTGCTGTGAAGAGAAAAGGACTTTGCCACAGGAAAAGGGGAAGGTAAGGAGTTACTAGCATTATGCATTGTAGCTCTTGAAGGAAGAGGGGGTATTGTTTTCACTGCAGAGCAAGAGGGACATTTGGGGAGGGGAAGACATTTACCAAATACTGCAGAGTGCAGACTCTAAGGTGACTATTTGGCATGGAGGTCACCCACATTTCCCCCCACATTTCAGGCACCAGTGGGCAACAAACAGGTTTGCTGGCAGCCCTAGCTAAGAGGATCTCCTGGCAGATCCTAAATGAGGGACCTAGCCTAGGGCTGCCAAATGCAGCCGGGGGGCGGGGAATCCCCCGCTTCGGAGCCCCGATTTCCGGCGCACTGGAATCAGGGCCCGGGGGAAAACCCACCCCCGCGTGCGCGTCACCCAGAAGTGACGTCGCACGCTGGGGGCGGGGCCACGCCATTTGAGGGGAAAACAAAGAGTTTTCCCCTCAAATGGTACTGATCCTTGTGAGGGGGCAGGTTAAATATGCTCTTTTTAAAAACCTTCTGTTCCAAAGATTGACCACTCTGGCTAATAATAGAAATAATCTAACAATTGGAATAATCTAATTCAGAGTGTTTGCCAGTTATTAGATTTAGGAACACAAATCGCTGGGAAAGGGAATGGAGCATGGACTTCATGCCCTGAATTCTTAATTCCTTCCCAGAGGCTTGTGGCAAACTACATTTGGAAACACAGTTATTTTTCATAGCTCTGTTTTTATAGATTTTTTGTTACTTTAGATGGCTTATACAGTAGAAAGCTGGGTAAAATATTTAAGTAATTATATTTGAGGTTTTCCCCAATTTAGTTCTGTCAGCTACCCTTCAGCCATCCTGCTGGGTCTCCCAAGGCCTTAGAATGAGAAGAGAAAGGGATTACTTCACCTGGTTCCTTTTCTTTCCCAAGACAATGGGGAATTTCAGACAGCCGATATATTCCGGTTCTGGAACTGTTCCCTAATGGTTTTGGGGCTGACATTTCAGACAGAACCATTTTAGTAATGGTTCCTTACTGGCATATATTTTCACTTTCAGATAGAAATGCTTCTGTCCCGTTAGGGAAGCGTTTCTGAACCGTTTTACCTGCAAACTGCTTCCAAGTGGTCTTCACTTTTCTATACCATTTCTGAAGTGCTAGGTGCTGTGTAAAATGCCCCGTAGCGCTTCCTCTGGCACCACTTTGTTTTCCCGCCCAAGCGGGTGATCTCCGTCCTTTTTTGTTAACATTCATTTTAGAGTGCTATACCGCTATAGCAGCATAGCACTATAACACTCTAAAATGAACGCTCAATTAAAAAAAAACAAGGACAGAGATCGCCCGTGTGGGCAGAAAAGGGTGGGAAAACAAAGCGGTGCAATCTGAAATGCCAAACCGCTTCAGAGACGGCGCCTTACCGGTAGGAGAAAGGCTGTGTGAAATGGCAGCCCTGTACCGGTTTACTCCAAGACGGTACAATAACGGCTGAAAAACAGCTTAAAAAGTATAATGTGAAATTCCCCAATTGCTCTTTTCAGACCCAGACCTGTGCCCTTTCTTCCTTCTTGACTTCTACAGGAGCCCTTTTAAAAAGAGGCTATCTAGTCCCACCCTTCACCACCAACTGCTAATCCCCACCTCCCCAGCCACACCTGGCCTATTCCTTCGGTTGTGATTGCTCTCTCTCCCATTGTTTCTCCTGCAAGGACGCCAGCTTTCCCTTCCCCTCCAGCCACCCCTGGCTGGGATAGGCCACAGGTCATCTGCACTTGCCCATGTTTTCCCCAGGCCTCAGTGCCTGGGCTGCTGCTTCCCGGCCTAGATGACTCTTCCTGGCCCTCCACAGCCTCCTTTGTGGTTGCTGGTGCTGACTTGGTTGGGCTGCCCTGAAGCTAGGCCCCAGCCAGTGCTGGCTGTGGAGGCAGTCTTGCTGGTGGGTGGCAGCTTGGAGTATGGCGCTCTCCCCAGACAGGGCCGGCTCGCCCACTAGGTGAACTAGGCGGTCACCTAGGGTGGGACGGCCCTCAGAGGCGCCAAACTGCACCCTGGCCCCCCCACGCCAAAAGCCCCCCACCGCCGCCGCCATAGCGGCTGGCGAGCGAGCAGAGGCGGGAAGCGCTGGGGGGTTGTGCCCTCCAGCAGCTGAGCCCCCCCGGCGAGAGAGAAAAGGCGGTGGGGATTGGGTCTCTGCCTGCCCCTCGTGCGCGCTCTTTCACTCTCTGCAGCGAGGGAGGGAAGCGGGGGGGAGGGAGGGAGGCAGCCTCTCCACGCCAAGAAAGCCCCGTGCACCCAGCAAGCCCCGCCCCCAGCTTCCTGCCTCCAATCAGGACAGGACTCTGAGCGGGAAGCAGCATGTGCTGCCCTCGCTCATTGCTGTGGCCGAGGCCACCCACCAGCACCAACAAGAAGGCAAGGTAAGTTGGTGGGGGTGCGGGGGATGGCGGTGGCTTGATCTCTGCGGGGTGGGCTGTGGTGGCTTAATCTCGGGTGGGTGGGCTGCAGGTGCTCATGGCACCCGCGGCCCGCCTGGCTAGCTGGGGTGGCTTGATCTCGGGAGGGGTGGGTGGGCTACGGGCGCTCAGGGTGCCTGCGGTCCGCCTGGCTAGTTGGGGTGACTTGATCTTGGGAGGGGGGGGGGGCGGCGGGCACTCAGA